GGAAGAAAAAAGGCACAGGATCCATGTCCGACAAGCAGCAGCTGAATCCTGTCTCGTGGCATGCGTCGGGCGCAGGGGGCGCAGGGGGGGGGGGGGGGGGGGGGGCGAGAGACAGGGGCAGCACACATGTGCAGGCATGGGTCAGGGGGATCCGCAATTGCGCGGGCATGTGCGCGCGCTCACGCAATGCGCTACACATCGCCAGGTGGGAAATGGCGACACCAGGGAGGAACGCACTCGACGATCTCATCGTGCGGGCGGTTGGTCAGCAGGAGACCAACATTGCCGACCAGACGGCGGCCGATCTCCGCCAGGCCGGGGTGCGGCTCGTCCGAGAGGGCCACACCGAAGGCCTTGGACATGACGCGGTTCTTGCCGAAGAAGAAGCGCGAATCCGGCAGGTCGGCACGAATGTCCTTCAGGAAGGTGTTGCGCATGTGCTCGACGGAGAAAAGATAGATGTTGTTGAAGCGCTCGATGGCCTCCTGGATCTCGGTAATGAGGTTCTCCTTCTGCTCACGGCCACGCTTGGTGGTGTTGGTCAGGGAGACTGCGGGAGGGGGACACACATGCCGTGGGCTTCAAGTTAGGTCGGTGCACAGGGCGGGTGTCTTTTTTTTTTTTCGGCCTCCTTGTCTGCCACTCGCGGCTGGCGGGGGGTGCCGACACATATACATGTATCGTCTCTTGGGGGCAGGTAGGAGGCTGGATGGCACAGGGCCACGTACCGAGCTTCGCGCGGCGGGAGCGGGCCATTGTTCCTAAGGTCGGAGATTCCGGGGGGTAATGCTCACTGGGCAAGTGGCAAAGGCAGATTGGGGCGTGTGAGTCGGGGAGGGAGGGAGGGTGGGAGGAGGAGCGGACGGAGCAACGGGGGGAGGGGAAAGGAGAGGGACAAAGTGCCAGTCGGGGGGATCTGAGGAGAAAGAGGGACGCGGGAAGAAAGAGGGCAGCAAGAAACCTGGGACAGTCGGGGGAAGGAGTGGGGCAGGGGGCATATGGTAGGGGACCGGGCCGGGAGTTGCCTTGCTTGCGGGGCCCTATGAACCCTCACCTGCCACTCTCCCACCGGGGGCTGTGTGCCTCTGGGCTCCGGGGTCGGGGGGTGTGCGGGCGCTGGGCCCGGCCACGCGTTGCTGCCCGGGTCTCGCCCACCC